TGTTAGCGCAAAAAGAATGTGTTGATCATTTTTTAATGTAACATTATAATCATATGTCGCATTAATTCATATGTCTACGAATTAATTGTACATACGCGACTTCCGGAATCAATAAGAATACTTTCAAAGGGAGAGATAAACCTCTGTAAGAGCCGATCGCTAGATATCAGTGCGAATTTAAATTAAATTATGAGAAGATAATAATATTTGACAGTCCGAAAACGCACCCGCCGCTGTTAAACATTATTATCCTTCCATAATTTAATTTAAATTCGCACTAATGTCTAAATGAACGATTGGCTCTTACAGGCAATCTTTCTCTCTTCTTTGCACAATAAAAAACATTTTGTACTTGTGTTAAAATCAGTCTTTGTTAAAAATTTGTGTTGAATTTTTGACATATCTGTATATTAATTTAACATGTGTTTAGATTATCTCAGTATTTTGTGTTGAGTCGATATTCAACACGTATAAATGTTAAAAATGTTAAATAATTCTTTTGTAAGCGTTATAATAATATTTTATACTTCTCAGTGCCAACTAACATATTATGAATGTTAATTTTATGTTAATTTCTGACGTAATATTTGTGTTACTTTTCAACATATTCACCTTATGTTAAATTAACATAAGTTTATATGGACCGTTTGGGACATGTGATATGTGTTAAATTTAACACAACATTTTTTACTGCATATACCTCTATTTAGAAACTATTATAACAATGCTTCATCGTCAATAAGCGACTTTTGATTGGACGCGCAGATTTAAATCGCTCGTTCGCTGTTTCTTAAAGTTCCCATTCTTGAAGGCTTAAAGTGAATGTGAACAATCTATCGCGTCTTGAAAAGCCGAACGCGTAGGAGGAAAATCGCCGGTGTCTACAACGGAGCTTTGGGGAAACAGGTAGAGAGCGCAAGGAGGATAAACGCGCGAGGACGAGGCGCAGTCGCGGTTTCCTTTGCTTTTCCACGAGCAACGGCGTCGGTTGCTCGACGCGCGCGCACCGCCACCGTTTATTTGCAGGCGAGATTTTCAATAAACATCGAAAAAATAGCTCCACTTTAGCGCGCGAGGATCTCGGCCACGTGTTTTATATACCGCGCCGAGTCGTGACGGGGGTCTATCGAAGACGCCAAGCGGATACGCGATGATAATAGCTGCTCGTGTTACGAGGGGATTTCGGGAAATCGTACATCATGATTTTTCGCAACGAGGAAAACACTCTGGCGCAACACGTTCGTTGTGCTGTGCGTTCGTCGTCTTCGTTCAAATATTGCATGCACGTCGAATGCGCGAAACTAGTTTAGCAACGACGCGTTACCGTCGTCGCACCTGTTTGTTCTTGCAGCATCGCAATCTCGCGGATATCGTCGGGACATACCGCTTGATCCGCGTACGAACGGCCGTCGAAGGTTGCGATGCGTTTTATTACGATCATTGTAACGGAGAGAACATTGCCGCTCTCTTTCGATGCAAATTCTTCTCAATTTTGCCGTGTTTTTAGTAATGCAAGAATGGACTGTTATTAGAGTTTATCTTGTTAAAAAAAAATCTGACAAATTTTTCAATAGTACACGGAGAAAAAATTAGTTTTAAATCAATGATAGATATTCTCATATACAAGCAAGTACATTATAATCGTCTTAGAAGACTTTTAGTCTTGATTTGATCGAATTTGTATTGAGTGTAAGTATTACTTACACTCAATTCAGAGCTAAAAATCTTTTAAGAATATTATAATATTCTTGCTTGCGTATGAGAATATCTATACTTGAATAAAGACTACTTTTTTCTGTGTAAATTCCAGTTCTTAGAATGTAATAAATAGTATATATGAGATAACAAGGATGATAAGTTAAAGCAGAATGTCGATATGTTCCTCAATTATACAAGACTAGTAGTTTTTATAAAATTCTCCCGTGTACGATGATTATACAACTCGCTTATACTTAAGGCGATATCGCGTCCGTAAACGCGCAATGCGAAAGGCGCTCATTGTATGACGACTGGCTAAATCCCCTCTCGGCAAACAGTGTGATACCAATCGCGTAAGTTCGAACTTCAATATCGAAAATAAAAATATCGGAAAAGAGAAAGTATTTATACAGCTCTAAAAAATAAATAAAATTGCTACCTATCCTATGGGAATCACCGCAGGTGTTTGAACGTTATAAATATGTCGATAACGCTCAAAAATTCACGGTGAATAGCAATTTGTTATATTTATCATGAAAAATAAACAAAATTCATGAAAATTCAGTTGTTTTTTTCTCAATATAAGTAAATTATAAGCAGAAATAGTTTCAAAAGAGAGCACTCTATTAAACGACGTAAATAGAGATAAATGAAATGTTTATTTTTATAAATGGCGTGTCCTTAAGGATACGCCGGCACTGAAAGGGTCGGTCATTCATGGATATTTCAGCTCTCGGAGATAAAAAATCGAGCTCGGCGGCGATATACGTGTCGAGCGATTTTAGCGATTCGATGCGAGCGTCGCCGCTACTTGGTCGCACTGATCGCCGAGGATCATCATCGGATGGACATCGTGCACGCGAGTTAGTGGATCATGTCGAGGATCGCGAGTACTGTAGTACTCACGCTGCCTTCGGTGGAGTCGAGTCTGTCATGATGTAATCCGAGGCGACGCAGCCGACGAGAAAGAGGAGGCGAGCGCGGTGCAGCCCCGAGTGATAATCTTTCGCGGATCGCCACTACGTCGCACAGCACGCGGATGACCTGTTGAAGCACTGAACTGTACAATCGGCGACAACGGTTTCGCGTATCTCGACCGGACTTTTGGAGGAAGGAAAGTAAACTCTAGAGAGAAATAAAAAAAAAAAGCAAAATTTGTCAGAGCACGTCAGCGTCACGACGCCGTCGTTCTTTGCCGGTACGAGGAGAAGGAAGAGGAAGACGACGGGGCACAACCTTATGTACAGTTTCGCTGCGGACTGTCTTCGATACACCGGCACACATGAAACGTGCGTACCATCGCGCGGTCGCGACGCGACTAGTCCGACGAGTTATACTGATTTCCGCCCACGACCTAATCGCGAGTCGGACGAGCGGCAGCGGGGAGCGAAAGAGCAGTTTGTTCGTGTGTGCGAAGAGAGAGAGAGAAAGAGAGAGAGAGAGAGACGGAAGAAGATACGGAGAAAAAGAGAGCGGAGAGAAAGGTGAAGAGAAGGATATCGAGACGCAGGGACGTTCTCTCGTCTAGGTCCACGATCTCTTCCTCTAGGGTCTGTATGATTTATCAAGTAATCGCAGAAACTCAGGCGATTTCAATCGAGAGATACATTCACACAAAAGCTCTACCGCATACGTGTATAACTGTTTTACATATCCTTCTCTAATAAATTTTATATAAAAAAGAAAAACAGTTAATCCGGCGAACTACGTCGAGAGAATTTTATATATAAAAAAGTAATATAATTGATACAAATGAATTGTATGCATAATTAAAAAAGAGTATATCTAAATTGAATTTAATTAAAATGTATTATAATTAAAAAATAACTGATATATAACTAGACTAATTTGACATCTAAGAAACATATATCAACATTTTTAATTTATTATCCTTCCATTATATATCTTTCTCTAATAAATTTTATGCACAAAAAATAGTTAATCCAATGAACTATATCGGAAGAATTTTATAATACAAATGACTAATATAATTAATACAAACCAATTATATGTATAATTAAAATAGTAAATTGAATTAAAATATATTATAATTAAAAAATAATTTATATAACTAAATTAATTTTAGTTATATAAATTATTATACGAGAAATACATATCGGCATTCTAATTTATTATTCTTCCGTTTTATATGTGCTATTTATATTTTACGAACTGAAGTCTACTGTTAGAAAATTTTATTGTATTCCTTACCAAAAATAAATTCTACCAACAGCCCAGTAAACATCAAGTAACATTACATTACATCAATGTTATAATTTATAACTTAACAATGTAAATGTAATATAATACAGCATATAGTGTTAAAAAATTAGGCCGACAAACTTTGAGAAGAAATAGGGGACTACAAAATAAACATTTTTTTAATATTATTTTTCTCTACAACGCTTTGTTTAATATTGAAAAATCAAATTCCTCCATTAAGGATATCTCGTTACAACCGTATTGGTTTATAAATAATATCGGCGAGAATCTTAATAGAAAATTTTGAATTTTCTATATAGTTTATTTATATCATATAGTATTAAAACAAAACGTTGTAAAGAAAAATAATATCAACAAAAAATATTTTGTAATTCTCTATTTCCCTTCAAAATTTCTCGGTCTAATCTTTTAACATCCTGTATATACATTAGTTATATTATTAAGTGGGAAATTATAATATTGATGTAATATTATTCGATGTTTACTGTATTACAAGATAGAATATAAAATTAAGATGATATGAAAATGATGATAAAATGATCGAAAAATGAGTTTTATGATCATTTTCTCATCATTTTGATGACAGCGTCTGTTCTACCTAAGTTTCTGCATTATTGAAAAACATAGCAAAAATAAAAAATATCTCGTTTGAAAAAACCTGTAATGTTTATCCGTATAGGAACCTCATGCGTTCTCATAAAGACGTGTTTGTAAAAATCGAACCACAATCGTGTCATAAACGTCGATAATGGCCAACGCCGAATTCTTCAAAAGAAACGATCGATCTATTTCACGATTCTTATAAGAACCTCATTTATTTATACGGAGCAGCGTAGTGGAATGAAGTTGGCTCAGGGCCCGTGAGTAAAGTAAAACGGTGCTGACGAGGCCGAGGAAGCAGCATGGACCATCGAGATCGGCCTGGTTGTAGAAGAGGAAATCTCCGGATAGGGAGGAAGAAAGGAGATCGCTATATGGGAAGAAAAAAGATCACTATCGGAGAAGAGGAGCGCGAGAGGGCCGACAGGTTCTGTAGATTGGTGTGCATTATATATAAGTACACGATCTCTCCTCTTTACCTGAGATGATTAATTTCACGAGAGATAATTCCGCTTCGCGGAGTAGTCTGGCGCGGCTTTTCCTCTTTCTCTCTCTCGTTCTTTCTCTGCCCGGTCTCTCTGCATTCCACGATGGTATTAACCCTAGAGCCGAGCTGGATCGACGAAGCGAGATGCCGGGTTAGCGAACGGCAGCCTCCTCCTGGTTTACCTGTAACTACGAACGGAGGAAGCAGATGGAATTAGATGGAGGAAGATTCAAGTCGATTCAGCACGGAGAACGCGCGTTAAAGTCACCGGAATCGCCAAACAGTCAATATTTCAATCCATTTCTTTAAGAAGAGGAACAACCTGAAGGAGCAACCTTGGTTGCTCGGGTTGCTCTTCTCCCTGAAGAAATAAACTGTAATGTTCACGAAACGTCGGTGAACAAACCTACAGAAATCGCGGCCCCAATTCGGAAGCCAAACTCAGGATTTCTTTCAGGATGCTATTTTTAAATTAGTATGTGTCATTTTTTAAATGTGTTCATTTATATATAATTAATTATATTATTCAGCAAAATACGTAAACAACTCGTAGCTGGCATATGTATGAAGCGGAGAATTCTTTTTGTACGCCAGCTAGTCGTGGGAATGATTGAAAAATTAATTTTATAATCATTTTCTTGTCATTCTGACGTTATCCTCATTTTCTGTTCTATCTTTCCTCGTTTCTATTCCAACGTTCTTCGGATAAAGTGTGCTATATAGGCTGGGATATAAATAATATTTGTGATCAATTGAGAGCATATTTCTCAAATATTCCAGGAACTTTCCTTCTGCCCTAACGATCAATAAATAACTACCGATAAAATCAACATGGCTTGCAACCTTCTTTCTCTTATCTGTTATGATTTCGTCACGTTAATCTTACTGCTACCTATCGATTGTCAAAATAAAAGAAAACTTTTCAGAATATTTGATAAATATGCTTGATCGATCACAAGCATCATTTAATAGACGTATTCTTTTATTTCGACGTAATTTCCGCAAGAATTTTTGGAATTTCCTCGTTTCTGACGTCATTGATCAAGACGTCATTGACCACGAGTTTCATAACGCATCTCATATCCAAGGAGGAAAATATATCTATTGAGAAAAACTATGAAACAAACTCCTTTTGGACACAGGATACGTTACAAAATTTATCTCCCCCAAAAAATACTGCAACCTTTCTATCCACCACTGTACACAGGAGTTTTAATGCGGACACAAGTGACTATAAATCCGCAAGGGCGTTCTGATCGAATGCTAACCTGCTACAGCATACTTCTGGTACATTTCGTTTAACAGACGGCAGATCGGCGCGGTCGATCACCTATCCCTACACAACGCGAGAGCGGTCTACGATTTTACTACCGTTTCCACCGCTTGAAATGGAGAAACCCGCACAACAAGTATCGTTATTACGTTTGTGCAATGGCTGAGCGTAGATCGATCGTCGAAATAAAAAAGTTGCTATCGTTCATTCATCAGTTTTCGCATCCTGATTCGTTTCGTTTCTTGGCGCGTGAGGTCTCTCTCTCTCTCTCTGGGTGAAATTAATTATATAGCTCGCCACTGCTACTTGGAGCCGGCGCGAATCAGGAAGCCGCTGTCAGATATTACCGCGATACAAGCGACTTAATTATATCAAATGGCATATTAATCATCCGGAGTAACGCATCCCAATCTCATTACAACTCGGTTGCATTCCTGGCTAATTATCCGCGATCGCTGTGCGGCGTGAGCACGTGGCGCGCGCGTCTAATATCTGCACGGCGAATCTGCCGGTGTTGAATCGCTAATTACGCACGCCACCAAATTGTATTTCGCGATCGACGACGATACATCGGGCTGCGCGCGCGTCGGTCTATCATCATTTCGGCCCCGGCGATCTCGCGCGTTCGCGCGAAATGCCGGCCCTTACAGGTGTAAATTTATTCCTCTGCATCCCGCCGCCGGCCGAAGAAGCGTAATCACCGCGCCGATTCTCCCGCTGGCTATCATTTACGACCGGATCGGGCTCCGCCGAGCGTTACAAATCAGGAAACGGAATTAGGGAAACGGAAGGAAGCAGGAGGAGCGCGAGACTAGTTAACGGTGACGAAGCGCAGATACGTGCGCCATGCTCGGAAGCCCTGTACTGGCAGGGCTGGACTTGGCCCGATCGAAGGGTTCTCATGCGAAGATAGAGACGAATGGATCTGTCACACGGAGAGAAAATTTTATAATAAAATTGTTATAGAATTTTATAAGTGAGGAACATATCAATGTTACGCTTTGGCTTCCTCATCGTTTATTATTTATCTTTTGATTTCATATGTGCCATTTGCAATTTAGGAATTGAAGTCTAATATTTAAAAAATTTACCATGTCCCTTAACAAGATAAATTATACTGAGTCTATTACTGTACTATTAGAAAAATAGATAGATAAAATTGAGATTTTCTTACGAAAGTATAAAGCTATAATATTCTCTCTATATAGTGAATATTAATTTCACGCTTGAAATTATTAAAAAAATACAAACCTTATATGATATTTAGATTTACTTTGTCTTCATTGAATTCTTCAAGATAAAAATCAATAATGAATCAATAATGAACCTAAAATTATAACTTTATAATAATATAAATATGACGCTTCTCCTTCCTCTCTTATATAACGACAAATATAAAGCATGTACAGATTTAATATGATCTCACGTAACATGCCGGATAAATAAATTGTGGAAATAATGTAGGATA